TTAATGACTCAGGCACTGTGTTAAGTGCCTCATATATATCATTTCATTTAACCCTCACAAAAGCCCTATTGTTATTACTTCCTTTTAGCAGATAAGGGAACTGAAACTTAGAGAAAGCATGTGACTGGCCCAAGTCCATATTATCTACCTGACAGAACAAGGATTTGAACATAGGTATCTCTGACTAAAGAGCCCACACCCTTAACTACAGTGCTATAATATCACTTTCAGTAATGGATGATTTAGAATTTAGCTGAGTTCCTGCCTAGAGTCTCTACTTCCTTGAATTCTTCCTCCATATTGCCACCAAAAAGATCCATTGATTGTGTCACTCCTCTACTTAAAAAATGGCACCTAATTACCTGTTTACAAAATAAAGTCCAAAGTCACCATGGCATACATTTAGGGAAAGAGCCCCTGAATGGGACATGGGATGAACACTTGTACGGTGAACAATTTACCTTCTTCATTGTCCAATTTCTTCCTCCTCCCATTAGATAAGCTCATTCATTCAATAAGCTTTTGTATAAAAGCTCGTCTTAAAATGGTATCTACCGGGGGTGCCAAAAAAATGTATATAAGTGGACACTTTGGTCAACGTTGCTCAAGCATTTCACCATAATCAGAAGTGTCTGGACACTGATGGTAACCACTTTGAGCACTTCTTGTAATTGCAGAAGTCAAAAGTGACTTGTATTCATCTTTTGCTATCGGTATATATTATTACAATTTTAATACCGTTTTCCTTTCTTAAAATGTATATACATGTTTTTGGCACCCTCTGTATATTCTCCACAGATGGATACGTGATCTAAGGCCAGGATCAGTGTTAAGTGCAGTTGTACAGGATCCTATGCTCAAAAGTGTTTGGGGTTTAATGCTCTGTGGTCACCATCTTGAAATCCTGAATACTTCTGTCTTTGAATTTGTGTTTTGTAAGTGAAATATGATGGAACTATGGAGCACATACCAGGGACTTGAAGCCGGGGATCACAAGTGGTTCTGCTTCCTTATTGCCTCTCTGGATGAGTTCTCATGTACCCACCAAGACCCAGGTTCGGGCTGGCCTTTCTGCTCCTGCCTCTTTGATTACTGCAGCAACCTGGTGGCGCTGGCCTGAGTTCTAATGTTACACTCTGTCCCTAGCATAAGCCAAGGCAAGGCACAGGTAGGGTCAGCATTATGCATGCATCCTGATTCTTTTTGGGGTGGGTCAAGGCCATGCCGTCCCTGCTAAGGTCTGGTGGTATCACTGTGAGTTCAGTGGGTAACTAACTCCATTGGGTCCTCTTGCCCACTCAATCCTGGTAAGTTATAATCTCTTGGGGGTCCCCTGTCCACCATGGGTTATAGCTATAGGCCCATGAAAGGTGAGATTGACTTATCCGCCTAGGCTGGGTGTTCACATCTTCTTTTTGCATAACACGGTGTAAATCATGTAGCCTGCTCTGTCTTATGGCTCTCTGATGTGTTTCTTTATAGTGGAAATGTCAAGTCATAATAAAAATGTGACACGGATATTACCTCCAAGGGTGCTGAGTGCAAGACCCTAACAATTTAATAAGTTTAGGCTTTTGCACTGACCTGTGTTAATGTGTGATTTCATGCTATTTTGCATGGCAAGGAAAGTTTCTCAGACTTTGATTGCTAGAGCAATGTGAAAATGCATTATCTGGCTGCCTTGAGCATGGCCAACTGATGACCTCTCCAATTAAGTAGACTGGAGAATGAAAATTCAATTACAATGAACAAACATTTCTTGAACACTTTCTACGTGCAAGGCCCTATGCCAGGCCCTGTGGGGAACATGCAGATTTGTGAGATTTGTTCCTATCTTCGGAGTGCTTGCAGGCAAGTGGGAGAAGGTAGAGGTACATACACGGATGACTATGGGGTAACATGCTATCTTACCTTAGGAAGGCAGAGGACATGGAATTAGTTGTGAAGCTGGACAGTCTGTCGGCAGCCCCTCAAAGCAGGCATTGCTGGTTCCTTGCCTTATGTCCACTTCTCTTCTTGGGAACAGAACTTGACTTTTCATCCCTTGGAAAAGATGAGTCTACCTCCAAGTCAGTAAGCAATCTTATTTGTTTCAGCCTCTTCGTGATAATCTCATGTTTCTTGCCAGTGACTGGTTTAGAGGTGGACATGTGGCTCAGTTCTGGCCTACGAAGTATGAAAGCAAGTCTCTGGGCTGCTTTTGGAAAGGCTTTCTTGCAATAGAGAGAGCTTTGTGTTTCATAGACTCTGGAGTGGACTATCTGGTTTAAACCTCCGGCTCCACCACTTGTTAGCTGTGCGTCATTAGGAAATTTACTTAGTCTTTCTGCCTCCATTTCCTCATCTGTTAAGTGGTGTCAATAATGGTACATACCTAATAGGGTTGTTGTAAGGATCAAAATTAGTTAATATAGTAGGTCCTCAAATAACATCCTTTCTTTCAATGTTGTTTCGTTATAATGTTGATGAGATGCTGAAGAAATGTAACTCTTCTTTATATAGATTAGCCTAAGGTAAAATTGGTTTCTTTATATGTCATTCTGTCTTAGTTCCAAGAATGAATTAACAAATGTTAAGTGAAGGCTTACTGTATTTGTAAGGCACTTAGAATGGACGCCTGGCACACAGTGTTATATAAACATTAACTACCATCATCATACTTTCTGAAGAGGAGACACCAGAAGTGATAGCCTCTTTTTATGACTTGGGACATTGGTGTGTCCGGATGAGATGTGGGCACCCCTTGTGCCCACACAGGGGGTGCTGGGCTATGAGGGAGGATGGAAGACCAAAAGGGGGGAAGAACTTCAGTTCTTGGTGAAATCACTGGTCATCAATCATGGAGTCCACGCTACCTCTAGACTTCTTGTTATGTGATATAATAAATTTCTTTGTTGTTTAAGGTATTTGCAGTCAAAGTCTGTGATACTGGCAGTCAAATGCACAATTTAACCTCTCCAGAGACTTCCTGGTGTATGTCCTGGAGTTTCTCAGCCAGTGCGACTTCTCAGTCCCATGGAGTCCTGGCTGCATATCTCGAACAGGCTACCTCAGAGCAGCCCCTGACATCCGCTCCCGACCAACCTGCCTCTACACTCTGAGGTGCTGGTCTCAATTGTGGTAGGATGGTTTCATGCAAGACTGAGATTTCAAAGGTTTCCCTAAATTCAGAATCTACCCTTGATATTTACAGGGGACTTGCTGTGAGGTCACTTTCAAATTTGAAAGTACCTTTGTAATGTGATTTCCCCACAAAACACAATCAATGTATACATAATAAGCAATCCGCTTTGATTCTTAATCATTTTACAGATATACGACTGGAATAAGTAAAGTTACTAAATTCCTCCAATAACATAAACTCTAGCCTATACCACTTTATATTGTTTTTTAGTAACATTTACTAAGAATGTACTTAAATTTCCAAAAATAAGGGGAAGAGGATGAAAAACAATTTTTAAAGAATACATCAGGAGAGTTATCGATTACATGGAGGTGCATCCTCTCAGTGATTGACAAGAAGACATTTGCTCCCCAACACCCACCTTGTAACATACAGGGATATCAAATTTGTGCTTCATGTTTTCCTTTTTGCTGATAAGATCGGGGTCCATTTTTATTCCTCATTCATTTAAAATGGCTAATCAGGATAAAAAATCCTTTGTCTAGAGGCTGGGGTCTCCCCTATTTAGAGGTTGGAACCTAGTACCATACTGTGGTGGGTTAAGAGGTAACCCCCAAGGGGTGATCAGAGGGGCCTAGGCCTGTCACTCTCTTTCTCCAGAGTTTGGCATGTGATGAAAAATAGTCTATTTTGAATTCTTTTCTCCTGGCCTTGGACTTAAAAATATTAACTGTATGAGATGGGGGAAGGCTTGGAAGAGCTAGCTGAAGAAGAGCACCCTAATTCCTTTTACCCAAGAAGGGGAGATTATTCAATACTGATTCTGGAGCTTGGCCAACCTCTTTTTCTGATCTCTCCACCACAACAAAATCATGGGGAAAATTAAAAATGCATAAATATTACAGATCTTTGGGATTGCTCAAAGATTGGGAAATATCAATTTTTTTGACTCCTTAAAAGTCATGGGTTTCATCTTTTGTGCCCACTTCTACAAACTAATAATGGTCTTTTAGAGCATCAGGCTGAGAGGGACTGTGAGGCCAAGTTAGGGTTCAGCAGGAAGGAGTGCTGGGATTGACTCTGAATGTCTGCCCTGGGTGTGGGTTTAGACAGTGGCGAATGCCATGTTGTGTTTCTACAATCCAGGGTTTACATAGTTTCTGCCTACCATGCCTGAAAGGCAGTTAGAACATTGTTAGGCCTGATTCCATAATTCCAATTACTCTTAACTTTAGGATAAATTTATTTAATCAATGTACATTTATTGAGTACCTTCGATATTTTAGGCATACTCTTAGGCACTGTGAGAAATTAAAAAATGAATTGGACTCAGATCCAGCCCAGAAATAATTAATAGAAGAAAAAGGTATGTGTGTGTTTAGGGTAGAAAGTGATAAAGTGCTGCAAAAAAGGATTTAATCAGGAGAGGGGTAGGAGCTATAACAAAGGTGGGAAAGGGTACTTTTGGTGAGTATGGAAGGTGGTCAAATAAGGCATGCTGGTGAGGGTGTATTGGAACAGAGCCTTGAAGTGATGTGAGAAAGATTGTTGGGATAGAAAGGGAAGAACTATTTCAAACTGAGTGGCCAGAATGAGCGAAAGCACCAGAGTGGAAAGCTGAAAGCTGCGGGTGACTGACTGACTGATGCGAATATGTAGTTGCTATTTATTCCAGTCCCCCTGACAGAGTGAGCAGGTTGCCTGTTGAGTTTCATTAGATTGTCGTGCTGATGTGACATCCATTTTTATAAGGTTTTTGGGGCCAGGGGAAAACTTGCTCTTTGGAAAGATCATCTTTCATCACCATTTGACATGTGACATATAACAAATGTCTTAAAGTAAAGGAGAGGCCCCATTGGTATCTTACGCTGTACATTTTTATTGTAAACCTAAGAGAACTGACAAAGGTTCCATCTTTATTTTCTTAAGTATGTACAGAGTCATCAAATATGGCCAGTGAAGAACATTCCCAACATCGTATCATTCCATTACATGAATATGGCAAAAAATCTTTAACACACTGCTGAGTTAGGAGATAGCTACTGATTTGTTGAACATATGTGCAAAAGCAGTCAGATTAAAATTGCAAATAGAAGATCACTCCTAACAAGCTCTTAAGTCATATCCACAAATACATACATATAAACATGAGGTAGGGTTTTGTTAACTTTCTTTTTTAAATACTTCAGAAATTGAAGCAATGCTGATGGCTTTACTAAAATAATAATACAAATAAAGAGGAACCAAAAATTGTTTTAAAAAAGTATTCTTCAGCTACACGCAGAAAGCTTTAAAAAGCCAGTCTAAGAAGCACCAAGAAATAGGCTTGTCAACAAAATTAGGGTGCACATTTCAGAGTTAGAAGAAAAAAAAGAGAATTTAAATAAACCTAAATATCCTTGTAAAATTTAGAATGCATGTTAGGAACATGAAATATAAACTTGGATGTCGAGGGACTTCTTAGGCCTTCGTTTTACTTATTGATTGGCTTGTGACTATCTTCTAAGCAAACCTAAAACAGAGAAGGTGATTCTATGACACCGACAGTAATAAGTTCCACCAAGATCCAAAGCGGCAGGCAAGCCAATTTTGTGTTCCTCTCCTTTCCTCCTTGTCTCCTCCTCCTCCCCTCTTCCTAATCCCGTGCCCTTCCCTGGAGTTTTTATGGGCACCCTTAGATCTATATTTACTCACTATATTTAGTACGTTTGATTATGCATAGCCTAAATTCGGATCTGCAATGATGATCTAGATTTTTGTTCACTGTAAGAGCTGTTTCTTTTTAAAGGTTTATAGCAAAGGCTAAGAATCGACTTGTTTCTCTCCCTTCTTGCTAGTCCATCGGCTCACGTTGCCCTTGCTGTTCTCCTCCAGAAGGCTCTGCTTGCTCATTGGCCCATCTGCTCTGCTTCCTGACATTTAAGTCTCTACTCAGCTAACCCCTCTTTGGGGAGGCCGCCCAGACCACTGAATGTAAATAACACCCATTTCCCATCCCTGGCCTTGCCACTGCCTAGCATATCATTTTGTTTGATTTCTGCTATCCCTTTACGTAGTCATCCCCCTCCCCCCCTTTTTTTGGTAAGCTTTTATGTAATTGAAAACTTTCTTTTACATACAGTAAAATTCATCATTTTCATTGTATAGTTCTGCAAGTTTTGACAAATTCATACAGCCATATACTGCCATCATGACAATCAAGATATAGAAAGTTCCATTGTCCTGAAAAATGTTTCCATCCCCCTTTATACTTAACCCTCCCCCACCCCCAGCTCTGATCTGCTTTCTGTATCTATAGTGTTGCCTTTTTCAGAATGCCAAATAAAGGAGTCATATAATATGCAGCCTTTTGAGTTTGAATTCTTTTACTCAGCATAATGTACTTGAGACGCATCTGTATTATTAGGTGTATCGTACTTCATTCCTATTTATTACTGAAAATGATTCCATTGTATGAATAGACCCCGGTTTGTTTATTCATTCTCCAGTTGACGGACATTCTAGTTGTTTCCAGTTTTTTTTTTGTAATTACAAATAAAGTTGCAATAAACATTTAAATATAGTTTTCATTTCATTTGTATAATTATCTAGGAGTGGGATCACTGGGTCATACAGTAAGTGAACATTTAATTACATAACAAGTACCATTTTGATTCAGAAATCAGTTGCATTTGTACATACCAATAATAAACTATCAGAAGGAGAAAATTTTACAATTGCTTCAAGAACTATAAAATACTTAGGAATAAATTTAACCAAAGAAGGAAAAGACCTGTACTCAGAAAATTATAAGACACTGAAGAAATAAATTAACGAAGATACAAATAAATGGAAACACCTACCATGCTCATGGATAGGAAGAATTAATATAGTTAAAATGTCCATACTGCCTAAAGCAATATATAGATTCAATGTAATTCCTATCAAACTACCAAGGGCATTTTTCACAGAAATAGAAAACATAATCCTAAAATTTATATGGAACCATAAAAGACCCCGAGTAGCCACGGCAATCCTGAGAAATAAAAACAAAGTCAGGGGTATCATGCTACCAGGCATCAAAACATACTACATGGCTACAGTAATCAAAACAGTATGGTACTGGCATAAAAACAGGCACAGAGATGGAAGGAACAGAATAGAGAGCCCAGAAGTAAATCCATGCATATATGGACAGTTAGTCTATGACAATGGAAGTAAGAATTTACACTGGGGTGAAGATAGTCTATTTAATAAATGGTGCTGAGAAAATTGAACTGACACATGCAAAAAAATGAAACTGGAACACCTCCTTACGCCATACACAAGAACAAATTCAAAATGGATTAAAGACTTAAACGTAAGACCTGAAACCATAAAACTCCTAGAAGAAAATATAGGGAGTAAAGTTGCAGACATTACCCTGAGCAATATTTTTACTGATACATCCCTGCAGGCAAGGGAAGTAAAAGAAAAAAATGAACATATGGGATTACATCAAACTTAAAAGTTTTTTCACAACAAAGGAAACCATCAATAAAACAAAAAGGGAGCCTACTGAATGGTAGAAGATATTTGCCAACGAGATATTGGATAAGGGGTTAATACCCAAAATTCATAAAAAACTCATGCAACGCAACACCAAAAAAACAAACAACCCAATTAAAAAATGGGCAGAGGATATGAAGATATGAAGAGACATTTCTCTAAAGAGGACATACAGATGGCCAACAGACATATGAGAAAATGTTCAACTTCACTAATCATTAGGGAAATGCAAATAAAAACCACAATGAGATACCACATTACCATGGCCAGAATGGCTATCATCAATAAATCTACAAACAACAAGTGCTGGCAAGGCTGTGGAGAAAAGGGAACCCTGGTGCACTGTTGGTGGGATTGCAGATTGGTGCAGCCACGATGGAAATCAGTATGGAGATATCTCAAAAAACTGGAAATGGAACTTCCTTATGACCCAGCAATTCCACTCTTAGGTATTTATCCAGAAAAACCCAAGACACGAATTCAAAAAAATATATGCCCCCCTGTTCATTGCAGTGCGATTTACAATAGCCAAGACTTGGAAACAATCGAAATGCCCATCAGTAGACAACTGGCTTAAGAAGCTGTGGTACATTGACACAATGGAGTATTACTCAGCTATAAAGAAGAAGGAAATTGTACCATTTGCAATGATATGGATGGACCTACAGAACATATGTGAAGTGAAATAAGTCAGTCAGAGAAAGACAAATACCATATGATCTCACTTATATGTGGAATCTAAAGAACTGAGTAAATGAGCAATGTAAACAGAAATAGCCTCAGAGACACAGAGGAAAAACAGGAAAAACTGATGATTGCTAGATGGAAGGGGGTGGGGATGAGAGAGAAGGGGAAGGGACGAGACAACATAAATTGGTAACTACAATATGGCCTCAGGGATAGGAAAGACAGTCTGGGGAATATAATCAATAATGTTGTAAATATTTTTTAGGGGGTCACATGGTCTCATGTCTTGTTAGGGAGACCATTTCATGGACGGTGTAGAGGCCTGACCACTGCATTGTACATCTGAAGCTGCCATTAAATAATATTATATGTCAACTATAATTATATATACATATAGTCATGGGATGTGGAGTATAGTGTGGGAATGGAGTCAATGGAATTGTAATAGATATGTATGATATCGGGGGTGGGAGGGCAGTGGATGGGGGTAGGGGGCGTTGCCACTTTGTGAGGGGTGAAATGGATAACTATTGCATTGTTTTGTACACCTGAAAATAATAATAATAATAATAATAATAATAATAATAATAATAATAAACAAGTGTAGAAAAAAAAATTCCTAAAGACCTGCAAATTTTCATTTACTGCAGTCCTTGGCACATATACAAATTGTTAACAGTAAATTAAAAGGCAAAAATTATTCTTTTTAAAAGAAATTCCATTTTCAATAGCCAAATACACCAACAAAACATACTGAAACATAAAAAAAAAAGAAAAAGTACATTTTGTATTTGTACCAGCAATGAATGAGAGTTCCAGCAGCTCCACATCTTCACGAGCACTTGTCAGAAATTGTCAGAATTATAATTTTAGCAATTCTGATAGTGTGCAGTGGTATATCATTATGATTTTATCTTGAGTTTACCTAATGACTAATGATGTCGAACATCTCATTTACTTATTTGCTACTACGTCTTTTTGATAAAGTGATCAAATCTTTTGCCTTTTTATTAAAAAATTGTTTTTCTGTTATTGGGCTTTTTTGAGAGTATTATATCACTAATTCTTTTTTATATTCTGGATATTAGTTTTTTCCAGATTTTCAAATGTGATTTCCAAGTATTTTCACCCAGTTTGTGACTTACCTTTTCATTCTCTTAATGTCTTTCAAAGATCCTAAGTTTTTAATTTTGATACAGTACAATTTATTATTTTTTTCTTTCCATGAATTGTGTTTCTGGTGTCATATTTAAGACATCTTTGTCTGACTCAAGGTCACAAAGATTTTCTTCTATGTTTTCTTCCTAAAATTTTTATAATTTTAGGTATTACATTTCAATCTGTGATCTCTGTTGAGTTTATTTCTATAGATGGGGTGAAATATGGATGAAAGTTCATTTTTTATTGCATACTGATATCCAGTCATTCCAGCACCAATTTTGAAAGACTATCACTTCTCCATTGAGTTGCCTTTTCATCTTTTTTGAAATCAGTTGACATATCTGTTTGGGTCTGTTGATGATCTCTGTTTCATTCCATCCATCTACATGTCATCCTTTCATTAGTACCGCATTTCCTCGATTATTGTAGCTTTATACTCAGCCTTGAAATCAGGTAGATATTACTCTGTTTATCTTTTTCAGGGGAGTCACATTTTTAAACACCCTCAACTGTCTAATTAAATATGTCAGTCAGACTTGCTGCTGAGGAGGAGAAAAAGTGAAAAGAAAAGGAATCTGCTCTTCTCTGAATAGTTCATCTGTCTTGACAGGGCCCATGGCCATCCTGGATATCACTAGACCTTTGACAAGCTCTCACTTTGTCTCTGTGGCCACTGTGTTTCTGCCTTCAAACAAAGCAGGGGCTGGCCAAGTCCAAGACTGAGGCCCTCTCTAGATGGTTTTCTGGTAAAAACCTTGTTCTTATAAGATGAAGTGGGACTCAGGTGTTACTAGTTTACTTGCATTCAAATGTGAGTTTTTAAAAATCTTCCCAAAATCTACCTCCTTTCCCAAGATCCAAATGACTCTATTTGGAATGAACTACAAATCATTATCTTTTTACCTTACTGGAGAGTTGGAGAACAGAGAACAAGAAGAAAGGGGAGCAAAGAAGGAAACTAGCACTTACTGAGCACTAATTATGTGACCTGTTAAGTACTGGACACAGTATGGAAATCTTTGCAGTCTCCCAGTGAGGTTTGTGTTCTTTATCTCATTTTACAGATGAGAAAATTGAGACCTAGGAAGGTCAAATAGTACTGGTGAGTCATCAGTCTATTCTCTCTGAGGACAAAACAGGTGTCCTTTACTTTACATGGCAGGACTGGGTAAAGGAGCGATGGGAATGAGAACTCCTCTTTCCCCCCAGAATTAAAGATGAAATCCACATGCCTAGTTGGCAATGGATTTCAAAGAGTCATATCACGTGTCACAACTGGCACACAACATATACAATTGCAGCTCTGCCTGCCCCGCTACCTTCAAGGTCAAAATTTCATTTTCACATCTCTGTCAAATAATTCTTGGCTTGGTTTACTGAGTTTCCTCTTCTCTTCAAGCTTTTCAATGATATAGAAACATAATGCTTTGAGCAAAAGCCTTAGGGAGACATTATGAGGGAAATGTCTGTTTTCATTAAGAAAGTAGAGTGACAGTGTCCAGTGGTTTTATTTGTGTGATTGATCTCATGTGTGGATTTTTAATTAGCTCATAATGAATAGGTGTAAAGGTAGGGAGTTTTTCCAGAAATATTTGTTGTACTCATCTCATTGTAGGCAGTACTTTGTATCAGACAAAATCTGCATAGCTTCTGAAGAGAGGTATGCCCTGGCTTACATGATCTCAAAAAATGTCTCAAAAATATACTTTCAATGGATTCGTGTTTTAGATGTACATATAGGAATAACTACCACATAAAATCATCCTGTATTGAATGAAGGTCAAAGGAGAGCATCTTAAACTCCACATTTTGCAGATGAGAAAACCAAATGTCGGAAGAAAAGTGACTTTGCCTGAGGTCACACAGCTCATTATAGCTCAGCTGTATAATGAGAATTCACTTTGTGGGACTCTCCAGGGCTCTTTATTTCAGGACCAGGTTGTTATATATTGAATTTTGTTTAATTCAACAAAAAATATTCAACTCCATATCAGGATCCAAGACTCCTTAGAGAGGAGAAGTAGATGCTTTTTCTCCTCTTAGGAAAGATGAAATTATGCTGAACCTCTTAACCTGGTCATATGGTTAATTGAGATTTTTATGTACACAGGTGTGAAATGGATGAGAACATTTCCTACCTAAAGAAAGGATTCTTTAAATCGAGGATGTTCCCAGATCTGAAGCCCGTCTGGTTTATCAGCGCCGTGATCTGAATATCATAGCTCTGTCTGTATGGCAAAAACAAAACAGAACAGAAACAAAAACTTATCTCACAAGGCTGGCTAGTTATTCACATATAATACATTCAGGGCATCTTCTATACATACCCACTTCATGAAGGTTTTAAGAGTACGTATTTTTATATATGTCTGAGTGTATTTATTTGGATGCTATTAATATTAGTAGAGGCACTTAAATGTCTTGTTTGTTGGAAGAGTTGGATAGCTATATTATCTTGATCTAAAAATTATAAAGGTAATAGTACTTCTGATTGGCCAAAGTGGTTTCTTTTTCTACAAAAAAAAAAAAAAGCTTTACCGATATCAATGACAGAAATGGCTTTAAGTAACAGAGACACTTTATAGGTCACCATGGATGTACCCAAACAATCCTAACCATGAAAGGATTGCCTAATTAAAACCTCAAACTGATGTAAAACAGCTAACAAATATGATTGATTTTAAGAGGCCCATGCAATTACAACAAGAGGAACTGGCTGATAAGAACAAGTAATATGACATTCTTGATGATTAATCTTGAAGGGACATGTTGTGGGGTTTTTATTAGTCATTCACAAGAATATATGTGTTTCTTCTGATTATGTGCTACATATTCACTGTCAAAAAATGGGGAAATAAGAAAAAAATAGATATAAAAGAATCCATAATACCACTAAACAAAGATTCAGCTAACATTGCAATTATAGCATATTTTTAACCTTGCAATTATAGCATATTTTCCTTCTACATTTCCCCCCCTCTATGTATTTATAGATGCAAATTTTCAGGAAAATGATGTTTAAAAATACCTTCATATCTCATTTTGTTTAACATTAATAAGCATTTATCCTACAAGATAATTCTTGAAAATGTGTTTTTCAATAGCATTATATGGATATGACATGACTTATTTAGTAATTCCCATTGCTAAATAATTCTATTTTTATAATAACATATTACTTACAGTTAAATAAATCTAGCTTTATGACAAATTCTGTTGCACAGGACATTCTTGTAATACATCTCTATGTCCTATCTATGATTATTTCTCTGCAATAAATTCTCAGACATAGACTCACCAGGCTAAAGCACATATATGTATTTTTATCAATTTATTTTTTTAATTTCTGTTTTTGTATGTTTCATGAAATACACATTGTATGAGTTTCTATATGTGTATATATACATGTCTATGCATGTGTGTATGTGTATATATGTTTATATTATATATGTACATATATATATATTTATATAGAGAGCTTAGTTTTATGCTATTATTATTACTGTATACATACACATAATTAGAAAACAAATATTAGTATACCAGGGAGGCACATACATAAAGTGGTTTTATCATAGGTGCACATGATAAAAAAACTTTCGAGACCACTTCTGTGAACTTAAGGGATATAAATTTCATAAAATCCATTAAAAAGATGAGTTCTATTTTAGTGTCCAAAGCAATAAAATGAGTGACAGCTCAAGAATGATGGGAGGCTGTCAAAAATAAAATGCTAACAGTACAATCATAAATGGTCCTGGCAGAGAAGAAAAGGGCAGTCATTGTCACACCTGTGTGGTTGCACAGGGAGTTCTCCCAGGAGGTCAGAGTTTAAAAGGTTATTTGACAATAAGGGAGAGAGAAATCCCATCCAAGACAGAACAAAGAGGTAGCACCTTACTAAAAAAAAACAGTGGGGAAACACTGACATTCAGGAAGTGCTGAGAAAATACCAAGGAAAACAATAATTTTAAAACAAAAAAAATCTGATGAGATACAAAAATAGCAAGGAAGAGAATAAGCGAAGACCAAATGGAACTAATATTTACTGCGGACCTACTATGTGTTAATTACTATACTATTTTCTCTCCTTTAATATTTGAGAAAGCCTACTGAGACAATTATTATAAATTCTACTTTTACAGATGATGAGGTCAAGAAACTGGGGTGCTAGCGAGATTCTTTAACTTGCCCATGATCACTCAAGTGCTAATCAGTATGCAGAAGAGACTAGACAAAATCAAGAGACCTCAGACCCCAAAACCTAGCCTCATTCACTACATAAGCAAGGTAAAGAACTTCTTCCCTCCCTCCCTCCCTTTCTTCCTCCTGCAAAGTACTGCATGCCCATGATATCTTAGCATCTTCTTTCCATTGTGCCAGACTAAGTTTTTAATAAGAGAGGGGTCACCAACTTATGATTCCTTTATCAGGTAGAAGTCATCCCACAACACTGTATGGTCTCAGAAATGCATTAAATGAGGAGGGATACACCAGGCCCTCTTTTGGGAAGCTCACATATAAGCAAATAACAGCACTGATGCAATAATAAAGGTTTGGAGGGCTGTAGAAGCCCTGGGGGTCATGAGGCAAGGGTATGAGGTAAATGGTTTGCTTCCTTCTTACCTATTAGGGGAGTGAAGGAGAGAAGGGTAGGAAAATATGACAGATAAGCACGCAACCCAAGATATGTTAGAAAAAAAGTAATGAACAAAAAAGATGATGTAAATTCACTTACCTAATTACACCTTAAAGTATTCTTAAAATATAAGTATTTGAAAACAAAAGAATTATACTGGTTTGCACAAAGCAGAAAATGTGAAGTTCAAAACTTCAGGCAGCTGTTGGGTACTGTTCCTGAGCACAGTTTTTTCTTCTTCTTTGTTTTAAACTGGTCATTAAACAGATGGTTTAAAAGGATTCAGGAAGCAAGTGGTAACTTCCAGGGTCAGAATGGTATCAGTCAGCACTTTCCACTTGTCCTCCTGGAAGCCATCCAAAAACAAGAATAGAAAGATGCTACACACTACAGACTTCATTTTCTGTAAAATCAGGAGAAAGATATATTCTGCGGTCTCCAACTTCTGTGCAAGGGCTGCTAAATCACTTGAGACTGGTTGTAAGCCATGCGAAAAAAAGCACAGAAGTGTAAAGATGGGCAGGAGAGCCCAGGGCAGCACATCTCAGAAAATGCTCGTAAAAATGAATAACCTGAAGGTGAAGAGCATCTTCTGAAATGCAAAAGCTTCATTCCTAGTTTGTAACATCTTGTGCAGGAATGGGTGAGTCAGACTCCCTGGCAGAAATACTCTTGGAACTGGAACATGTGGAACTACCTAAAGACTCACAGAGAAGCCATATTTGCAGGAAGCAGTATGACTCTGAGGCAACCCAAGACAGTGTGAGTTGTGAAGAAGAGCATGAAGACAATCACATCTCTCACAACCACAGGAACTTCTTGTAAATTGCTGTCCAGAAATGCTCCCTTAATTGGATGATGAACAACCATAACATTAATACAAAGATATTAGGAAAAAAGAAATAAAAAACACTAGCAAAATGTACTGACATGGAGAACACGTGTCAGATAAATGATGCCATGGCACAGAAAAAAAATGTGAGCAAACATTTTCTGATACATTTTTAAAACTGCACTGAAGCCCTCACTGCTATGAAGGAAGTGATAACCTTTATGAAGGACGATCATGATGTGGAAATACAGTAACTCGAGGAAGAGTAACAGAAAGATCTCAATGTGCTGCTGTGGAAATAGCTTTGAGATGTACTGTTAAGTGAGAAAATTAGGATGTAGAAAACAGATATAGAATGTTACTGTAAAAGCAGGGGGAAATTATACATATATTCCTATCCCTACCAATACACTGACTGTATCCAGAAGGAAACTCTGCGAGGATATGCAAGGAACAGCAGCAATGCCTATATGATGGAGGAGGAGGGGCACGAATGGAGACCAGCACTGGGAGAAAGACTTTTCATTGTAAACCATTTTATACATTTTTATTGTGAATACTGTGACTATATTATCTATTAAAAAATGAAATAACTCTCTCAGGAGATAGAAAGTTCTGATACCTACAGATCCAGTACAATTCCACTAAAAACTGGTAAGAGCTAGGTTCAGTTAGCTTCACTTCTCTTCTGGGCAGGGTTATTGGACTGGGCTATGAGAGTGAAACCAGAGATTAGGCTTCTCTGGATAGCCCATTCAACAAAGGTTGTATCATATTTTCTTCTGGTCTGGATGGAGGAATGTGGGCTGGATACGAGTTCAGGCGGGTGAATTTTGAGCTACTTCCATGACCAAATTCAAAGGGTGTAGATTAGGGTGTAAGTTTTGAAGGAAGAGTGCATCCTTGGCCTCTTTCTGCTTAAAAGCTCTTAAATAAAAATTGGCCTATTAAGTTTGCAAATGATACAAAATGGTAGGACTAATATGCAACACAAAATAATTTAAAAAGTAAATAAATCATTGGCTTTAGTAAGGATCTAAAAATAGCATAATGAATGCATGAGTGCAAAAACTTGACCCAAAGCTGACAAAAATGTGCTGTATACTAATCTTATATCTAGATCATATAAAAGTGCGCTTTTTTGGTTTTAATTGACTAAACATTAAAGTAAAATGGCCCTCCAAACTTAATTTCAACTTTAATTACATTATTATAAGTATAGTACTCAAAACAGCAGCAGTCACTGTCACTCTGTGCCAGCACTTACCAGAATATACATGCTGTCCTGCTTTTAGCTTTGGGGAAATATTTTAAAGGGGCCATTGATAACCTGGGTATTTCCATAGGGGTGGACTTAGAATTTCAAACTATTTCAAAATCATTCTTATAGAAGGGAGGAGTTCAGGAAGTTAGTCTGAAGACAGAGATGAGGAGGATATTTCGTAGGACTCTACATATTTGAACAGCTGCTATTTGGAGGCTGGAATAGATCTATTTATTTTGAATTCAGAAATGTAACTAAGATCAATGAGTAGAATTTATAGGAAGTAAGATATTGAGTCAACAGCAAGAATAATTTTTTCATAATTAATGATGTCTAAAGTAGACGACATCAATAGCCAATGACCATATGAAAAGTGACCTAACTTTGTCAATAAATGCAAACCAAAACAACCAGATATAACTTTTAAAAATTATTTTTGGGGCCTATTAGATTGGCAAAAACCAAAGAAATGATAAAATCCAGTTTAGGGAAAATTGTGGAGCAATGAGCATACTTATGCATTGCTTGTGTGGGTGGCAAATGGCGTAACCACTGAGAAAGGTGGTATCTATCAGACTGTAACATATACATACCTTTTGGTCCATCATTTCTATTTCTAGGCATCTCACCTAGAAATATTCATGTCATTGTGCCAGTTATATATTCAAGCATATTTAGTGCATAAGTTTCTGCAATAGAAAAATAAATAAAATTGGAAGCAACCTAAATGTCATCAATCAGATGATTTAAAAAAGGAACCTTCACACACTGTTGGTGGGAATGTAAATTGATATAGCCATTATGGAAAACAATATGGAGGCTCCTCAAAAAATTAAGACTAGAATTACCATATGACCCACCAATCCCCTTCCTTGGGTATCTACCCCAAAAATCTGAAAACATTTATCTGTAAAGACATATGTGCTCAGATGTTCATTGCAGCTTTATTTACAGAGGCCAAGACATGGAAACAACCTAAGTGTCCTTTGATTGATGATTGGATAAAGAAGATGTGATATATATATATATATATATATATATATATATATATATATATATATA